CAAGTGTCGCGTTACCCTATAGAGGTTTGGCACCATCACAGGCCCATCCCATAATACTGCTTGGGCTGCCTGTGGTTAGATGACAGAACAATAAAATCCCAATGCTATATATCCCCCACAAGACTTATCCAAGTATCGCGTTACCCTATAGAGGTTTTGCACCATTACTTGCCCTTCCCATAATACTGCTTGGGCTTCCTGTGGTTCGATGGCAGAACAATAAAATCCCAATGCTATATATCCCTCACAAGACTTATCCAAGTGTCGGGTTACCCCATAGAGGTTTTACACCATCACGGGACCATCCCATAATACTGCTTGGGCTTCCTGTGGTTAGATGGGAGAACAATAAAATCCCAATGCTATATATCCCTCACAAGACTTATCCAAGTGTCGCGTTACCCTATAGAGGTTTTATCCCATAATACTGCTTGGGCTTCCTGTGGTTAGATGGCAGAACAATAAAATTCCTTTGCTCTTGTGAATTGAATCCTTTCTAATGTGTAAAACAATTGATTGTTCTTGCCATTTAATATGGCTACCGTCACGTGATGATGCAAAACCTCTATAGTAAATCATGTTCTTTTCAGTTATGGTATGGCTGTCCATGAGAAACATGTCGATGCTTTATTTCCCTATATAAGGTATGTAGAAGCTGACGTCATTGTTTATACATTGCATCATTGTCATAAATCAAACGACAAACAGACAAACTGCATAAATTGGAAGAGAATATCGGGTTTTATAATACACTAAATAAAATTTACTTGATTCTGATTGGACAATAGGAGTACAATTAAATCCCAAATTACACAGCTTCTCATTAATCCCATATAGGTAGCTGTCCAATTATTTTCTTAATTGGACAGGTCTTGTTGATATGAGATTAATTAGGCAGCTATATAATTAATATGTAATGGGATTTCATGCTCCTCAATCAAGAAATAATTAGACTCGAAAAATTCCTCTGACAACAAATTGGACTCAGCCTATGGCTTCGTCCAATTTTGGAAGTCCTCAGAATTTTCCTCGTCCAATTATTCCTTAATTGGACAGCATGGAGTCCTATTACATATACAAATTGCAACACCAAATAAGAGCCAAATTTAGTTATGATTTCATGATGTTATTTCAACATATTTTATCAAGGTTTTTCTGCGATTTTCATCCAGAATATTTTTTATAGCAAAGATTTGAATGTTTCAAAAAATCCTAAGTACACTCAGTGAATCATTTCATTTTTCGGTCCGTACTGTAAGTTATGGACCGCAAATTAACCAATCATAGTGCGTGAATTACCTTGCCACATAATAATTTATATTATTTCAACATATTTGTATTATATTAGCGATGCTGGTGCAAGGCCACCCGAAAGTTGTATATTTGGACAGTTTCTAAACATGGCAGCAGTTATTGGTAAGTCTGTTTCTTTTGTAAAATAATATTTCTTAGCTTAAACACCTAATAGATTTAACTTACTATACATTCTAGACTGACGTGTTCACATGGAAACATAAAAAACTTTCCATATGTATCAAAGGCTGGTTAGTCCAGAACGATATAGTTATTCAAATTGGTTGCCATTTTTCAATTTGGTGTATGGTGCTGCTCTTGCGCAGCCTCTTGCCTCCATGGACATAGGTTCAATCCTTTGACCGAACGTCTTATGTGAGTGAAGTATTGCTTGTCCTTTCCATCCTTTACTTCAAGGGATTTTCTCTTGGTTCTCCAATTCTCCTCCTTTGCCAAAATCAACTCTACAGGCCAGGAGAGAACCAACAAACAACAGTTGCTTTACTTATATACACCTATTTCGAAAATCGTTGCTGCACCAAGAGCCTCAAGTAACAAGCCAAGGCTCCAGAGAACGTCGGTACTTTTGATTATAATTGATTTATTCATGGTTCATGCAAGTGGCTATAGCTCTCCACTAATTATCATCTCAAGCAGCCTTGCTTGGAGCAATTTGTGAAGTCAAAAGAAAATGCACCATGAATAAACTAATTACAGCTAAAAGTACCGGCTTTCTCTGCGGTCTTGGCTTGTTGCTTGAGGCTTTGGGTGCGACAACGGTTTCTGAAATAGGTGTGTATATATGTGACACCAAGTCCAGAGAACCACAACTGATAGAAAAACTCTTGAAGTGCAGGAGAGAACCAAATAGTCAGGGATTTGGAACCTGGGTTGCAATGGTGAGAGGCGAATGTTGTCACTGCTCTGCCACCGTTTTATATAAATAGACTTGATGATGCACCAACGTAATAAAACACTTACCTTGATTTGTTTTTTCTTGTCTGTTACTAGCTTTCGTTGCCATGTATTTACATTACAAACACATTAAGGAATTCAACATCACCCAGACGCCGATTATACAGAAACTGAATATGTTTTCATTATGGCTGTCTGCCTTTGCTTGTCTTGGTATGTCGATGGTAGCTAATTTCCAGGTAAATATAGTCATGCATCCATCCATCCGTCCATCCGCCTATCCATCCATCCATCCATCCATCCATCCATCCATCCATCCATCCATCCATCCATCCATCCATCCATCCATCCATCCATCCATCCATCCATCCATCCATCCATCCATCCATCCATTCATCCGCCCACCCATCAACCCATTCTTCCTCCTACCTACCCCCTCTTATACCCATTCATTTGATTCAGTTTTTCATTTTCCCACTTTTCTCATTTTAGTACATCAACAGTGAAGCTCCTCATTTCGTTGGGGCATTCATGGTGTTCTGTCTTGGTATAGCGTATTGTTGGATCCAAAGTTACATAACATACAAAATGAGAGCACAAGGAATGAGCTCAACGTTAGCTTTAGTAACACGGTTCTTCTTGTCCTTTGCTGCCACAGTCTTCTTCTTAATAAGTATCCTTTGCACTAAATAGGGCCAAGCTCAATGGCCCAATATAGTAGCTAAATTTTGATGATTTAGGTAATGGGTTTGGTAAATACTCCCTTGCCGTCAGAGATCTGTTCAAAATGCTTGATACTGGCTGTCTGTAACAGTCATTCTTAGTGTGTGACTCAAAATTTCTCGAAATATAGATAACAATAAAACAGCCGCCATGTTGGTTGATCTAACAAGAGAAGCTAATAAGGAATTCTTTATTGTCGTCAACCAACATGGCAGCTATGAAGTAACATGCACCCCAAGAATAGGGGAATAACAATGAAACAGCCGCCATGATGGATGACCTAACAAAGGGAAGCTATCGAGGAGTACTTTGTTATTATCAACCAACATGGTGGCTATGATGTAACATGCACCCCAAAAATAGATGCTTTGCA